TGGAGACCGGAGGAAGAATGCACAGAATCAACAGTGAAAAACGGCTAATTGTCTAACTAAGTTGAGAAATATCAACCTCGTCAGGAATCTTGAAGGTATCCGCAGCACCAAACTTTCTAAATTCCTCGGCTTCAGCCACTGAGTCGTCTTCATTATCATCATACTCTTCTCCCGCATCCCGATGGCAGGGTGTAGAAGGGTCGTACATGCTTCTGGACCGGCAGTCATGAGTTGCAAGCATGTTCACTTGGCCAAGATGTGAAATCTCTACCATCACAGTTTCATCATCCAATGGCAGTGGCTGTTTCCAGGGCTCCCCATCCATCCTCATGAATGTATGGTCGGTTGCACCTTTGTGGAATTCGAAGCGGATGCGGTTTGCCTAGGCACAAAAGAGAAACCGATTTGATAAGTTTTATCTATGTTTCTCTCTGTATGGGTCTCTTTATCACCATATTTACAATTCTTACCTGGGCAAGTCGTGTTCCGTGTCCATTTGGTGCGAGCAGAACAAGACCGTGCCAAGCATTTCTAAACCCAACAACCTCAATGAGGCCATCATCAACGAATGGTGGAGTCAAGTCTCTCTGTTGTGACAAAAGAAAGATATATGCATGTTATTTTACTAAGGCGAAAATTAATACAGAAAATTCAATTTGTAGCACCCACGCAATGTCGAGAATTCAACACCTACATCGCGTTGTTTCCTGGGATTTGGTGTACCCCAAGGATTTAGTCCTCCAGAAAAGCTGGGCAGATTCAGACATACAATGGACCTGATACTGTGAGAGCAGAAACAAATGTTAGGAATTGGAGTAGTTTATATTCGAGGTTGATCGCTTATTGCAAGAAAGTAGGGCACTGATTTGAAAGTGTATTGCAAAAATCCCACGACTATCTAACATGTCCATCAAGGCCTTAGTCCATTAATTCCTCAGGACCATGTATATAGGATAAATAAACACTACCTGTGGGGTATGTGGAGGTCATGCCACTGGCCATTTTTATCTGCAATCTTAACCTTCGCAAGCTGAGCTATGTTCCTACAGGGGAAGCCATAGAGCTATCATTATATTAAGCAAAAGAACATAATCATATAATACAAAAAACAAGTTACAGCCAAAGAGTGGAAATGTATTTAATGTGGACTCCATTACCAGTAATATATAGCCAGCATAAGATTACATTCATTATCAATTTACAATAACCATATGTGCTCATAGATGCATGCATGTTTCTATATTGTTGCTAAAGAGTATTCAAATTTGACATGGTTTAGCACACAACGAGACCTAAGCAGAAAAATAAACATATGCCTGTCATTGGCGCCAAATTTCCAATTAGTGACAGTAAAACAAAGGATGTGAGGCGGAAGTGTTGCAGAGCGTTGGAATCATTTAAGAAAATGTCCAAGAAGCTCCCACGCCAAAAACAAATAAAAATGTGAATAAGAAGTTAAGGGAGCTGAAACTCAGATACAGAAAAAGATGCGACTGGAAGAAGAATATACAGTATTCACATCTTACTCACCTTGAAGCAGGGTGGAAAAGAGAGGCACAAAACCATCCTTGCGTGCAACCAAGCTTTACATACGTACTCTGGCGTTTTTAAAAACGAAATGTGAAGCCAATGCAAAGTATTTATTCTTTGCTTAGTTGAGGTTCCAGCAAAGGGATATAAAAAGAGAAGGCGTAATCACACTAACAAATCAGAATCACTATATCTTCCAGATCGGGAAAGCAGACCAAAAGCATAAGAAAACTTGAAGAACAAGGTACCTGATTAACCAGCTGATTCTTGAATTTTTCAGGGTGCAGCTTCCTCTCAGAATGAAACGCATAAGAAATTTGAGCATCCATTCCTGCATGCGCACAATAGAACATTTAAGCGGATTTGTCATTGAAAATTGATAATCAAGATGATCATCGACCATACTAACAAAAGAAAAGCACTGCCACGTGGATATCAATTGTTTCCATACAGACAATCCAATACCTTGATGGAAGTTTATCTAAATAATCAGTACAATAAGTTATGATTGCTAGCTCATCAACCATCTCACTGAAAGATGACAAATCCGTAATGCAAACCTAACTGCCGAGCTATTTTGCTTATACAATGAGTTAAGGAAAATCCAAAGTTAAATGGAAGTAGATGGGCATTTGTGCAAACAAAATTTCTCACCAAGGCTAAAGTAATTCCAGAACCCCCCGCGAAATGTGTGGCAACCTTCCTGGGAGAGTGCAGCGAGTCCAGTCATATAAGACAAAACGAGACAGGTATTTCATGGCAGGAAAATAGGATAGGTTACCTTATTTAGTTCATCTGTTGGAGAAACGCGGTGAAATGCATGTAGGGAATGTGGTAACTCAAGAGGTGCAAGAGGATCACAAGAGCCTTCTTTAGGAGTCTTCATCCTCATAAGTATGTGCCAACTTTAAAGTAGAAGAGTGTTCACCAGTTATTCAACAAAAATATACAGTCAATTGTTGTTGTGGGAAAGAGATATGTACATACTTATCAATCTTCATCTCTTTTGCCTTGAGCACTTTATCCAAAAACGACTCCACTGAAGTTGTGTCTGTTCCGGGATTCTTCTTTCCCTAAAGAAAAGCAAAACAAAGCAAAACAGGGATTGAAACTCTTGTCTTGTTAATTTGTGATAGTAAAGAAAGAAGCCAAAGAAAGAAATGTGACCGACCCATCCAAAAGCAAAGGGAAGGTTGTTTCCTGTACCCAAAGGAACGGTGGCAATTGGAGGAGGATGGGACAATTTGAGGTCACATACAACTCCGAGGAGCCACCCAGCAGTTCCATCACCTCCTGCAACCTATAGAAGAAAGAGGAGAGAACAAATGAAATTGAAATGGTGGTGGTTTGATCTGTGTAATTCCCCCTTTCACTTTGGCTTGTAAACAAACAAGAAAAACTCACAATGATTTTGAGCTTTTCTCGAATCTGACGAGCGAAGTCATCATCTTTGAGCCTCTGGAGGTTAAGATAGATTCTGCGGAGCACCTTATCGGGAGTCTCTAGGCCAAGATCGAAGACCTGGTTGTGATTGAGAAGAGAGCGGTAGGTGAGAATGAGTTCCCCACCCAACTGACCACCGCTTTTGGAGTTGATGAAGACGAGGACCGGGCACTCAGGTGGGGCGATGGGCAGTGGTGGAGGAGCCTCTTCCGAGAGGACGTAAGAAGGGATGTAGAATTGCTTGAGAAAATCCGATGATGATTCCTTGTATTTATCCATCTGTAAACGGAGAAGAAACGGTCAATGACAAATAATATTGATTGGATTGGAGAGAGCGTGGAAGAAGGAATCGGGATCTGAGAAAGGTGATGATGATTTTAAAATGAGATACTTGTCTTCTTCTCTTCTCTTGTATATAAATAATATTAACTACTAGGTAGGTATATAAAGGGAAAACGG